CCTCTCGGGATCTTGGGCACGCATGCACACGTGCCTGGCGTGAGTTTTAAGCCACCGGGTCTGGGACATGAAGCGCAGTTGAATACATGGGAGTCCAGCGACATAGCCATTACACTAACTCCTGGTCCCTCAAATCCTATTTCTTGAGAAAGCTCCAATGAGGGGCCCAGCAGATGGCATTAAGGTTATGTTGCTGGACTCCTGCATGGTTGCCTTCAGTTCAAGTCCCGAGCCTGGTGACTTGACACTCAGGCCAGGAGTATGTGGATGTGTGCCTGTGCCCAGAATCCCTCAAGGAGAATGGAGGAGAAGGGACTGCAGCATGGCCATCCACCCTGGGAAGTGATTTCTTGCTTTCTGTCTACTTGTCTCTCTCTGTCTCTCTAGCTAGCACAGGAACCCTACAGCAACAATCTCTCTTTTAAAAAAAAAGAGAGAGAGAGAGAGAAAGCTCCAATGGGGATACTTCTCTGTGGGTTTTTTGGTTTTGTTTTGTTTTCTAATTCTGTTCTAGGGAAACAAATTGGACTTTCAAGAAGAATCTGTTGGGTCCTGAGAGAAGTCATGACACATTTTTACATAGAAAAGTAAGTCATAACTTTTCCAACGACCTAATAGTTCTTTCAATAAGCAAGCAAGAGTTCTTTCTGTTGTCAGCATTATACTATTTTTTGCAGAAAGATCTTACCAGGAAGCTATGTCTCTATTACACAGCCACCCTGAAGAGGACAAAATTAAAATGCTAAAAATAATATTGATAATTAATTTTAAAAGGCAACAGCTAAGTAACTACAATTTTGTTTTGAATAGTATGTCCAACTTGGCACAACTATGAAATATGCAAAATTGAACCAATTCACATAAATCGCTTTTAAAATGTTTTCATTTAACTTTTAAGTGATTTACATTCAGAAGAAAATCAACAAAACCAATTTATTGATGCTATTTTCTAGTAAGATAAAGTCTTTGAAGGGAAAGGTTTTCAATTCTATTATATTCAAGAGATACTCAGTGTCTACTCCCCAAAGCAATTCACTGTTCTCATGATCTTCTTACAGGTTAAAGGAGTAATATCCATGGCTGTATCATACTCAGAACTTTGCAAAAGGCTTTACATCTGGAATCACATGTATTCTTCTAGGAAGGTACTGGTGTTCCTATTCTACAAATGGGAAAACTTCAGGACCTGGGCAAGTGAAATCATTTATTATTCAATAAACATCGATGCCTATTGGCTATGTGCTAGGAAGTAGGCTAACCCTAGGAATATAGATGAAGAAGATAAAATCCCTTAAAAGTTCATAGATGGTTTAGATTGTGTGGAATTGTTAGTGTTTGTTCAGAATGGAAGGTGACTTGTCTCAAGTGATGCCATCAATTAATGGCCAACATGTTTGAACCAACATCTCCTGAGCCTCAACAGGCTTTCTTCACTCTGTGACCCAAACTGCCATGTGCCCTATAAAGTTTCCTTTCACTTACTGTTCTATTAAGCCAGACCTAAGGCAGTCCACACACTTCATAGTTAGAGAGACTATGACTTTACTACCGAAAGGGCTGATGTAAACAAAACTCAAGGACAGTCATACTAGAAAATGGACAGCCATCCTGGAGTAAAAGAACCTTGCAGAAATCTCAAGTGACAGTAGCTATGACAGCTAACATCTGTACACTCACCTCTGGCCATCTTAATGGAGAAATTGCTGTAAGCACCAGTCACTGTCTCTTTCAGAAAATACTACCTTCTGCCCCTTTCAGAATCTCATCAGCAATTTAAAACACTTATTCTTTATCATTGTGAAGTGAGGAGTTGGAAGATTTGGTTCTAGCTATGGTCATGACATAAAGATTTTTCAGGTAACTCTGAAGAGGCTGCTTAACCCCTGTGAAAGTCAGAATGTGTATTTACAAGGGAGGGAGCTGGTGCAACAGCCCGGTACACCCTGGTGAGTTACACAGCACATGGGCACCCAGGGGTGCTCCTCCACTCACAGCCTTCGGCTCACACCTCTGGAAGGAACAGCGACAAAGTGGGAGCACGGAGCACTGCTATGTGGGGGGGAGCGTCTGCACATAACAAATACCCATTTTATAAAACCAAGGTTTCAAAAACACAGACAAAAAAAGACAACAAAAAAGACATATTATAAAAAGTGTTCCTGACAAGGCTCTGGGTCTGAAACAAGTTAGAGTTAAAGGCTTTTTGTTTAACTTCAGGGTTTAGAGGAGAAAAGCTAGTGAGGAGTGAGAGACTGGATACATAAGAGAGGAGGGGGCAACAGAACAAGCCCAGAAGCAGCTTTATCCTTTATTATTATTTGTTTTAATGAACAAGTATGAATACTATATCTCCCCATGAAACTAAAATAAACTACTTGTAGGTAAACACCCAACATTGAGGTCTGCCTATCTAGTTCACTGAAGCTGAAGTAGAAAAACAACTTATTCAGATGTCACTTGAACTGACAGTAGTGTTGTTTTTCTTCCAAGATGCAGCCCCATTGGCCAGGCATTAATGCAGTGCTAATGCAGCCAGACCCACATGGAAAAGGTCCTTGGTTCATATCCCAGGGCCCCCTTGAACAGGCTGGGCACACATATGCGTGCCTATGATCTGAGCAGGCTGAGACTGGGGTGACTGTGGTGTGAAGACCCTGCTGGGGATGCCTCTCTCTTGTCTCTCATAGAATAAATAAACAAACTGAAAGGAAAAATGAAAAAGGCGGGGAACCAGCAGTTAGCGTAATGCTATGTTGCTGGACTCCCACGTAGTCGACCGCGGTTCACGTCCCGGACCGGGTGGCTTAGAACTCACGCCAGGCGCGTGTGCGTGTATGCCCAAGATCCCGAGAGGAGAATGGAGGAGAAGGGATTGCAGCATAACCATCCCCCCTGGGGGGTGATTTCTCGCTTTCTGTCTCTATGTCTCTCTCTGTCTGGCGAGCACACGCGCCCTGTAGCGAAAACCATGAACAGTAGAGCAGGGAGAAACCCTACAACTCTATCTGAGATCTTCTGCTATGTCTATGATCTAGAGTCTGCCCCCCACCCCAAGATATAGTACATTCACATGCACAAGAGGAAGAGGAAAGGGAACAGCCTCCATAAGGTCTGCTCACACTGCGATCCCCTTCCTCCGCTCCATGGGCTCTTGGGCACTTGTGAGCATGTCTGGTGTGTTTCATGGTGAGCCAGCTGGGAAAGTGAACTATGGTCACCATGTGTGATCTGGCTTCTCTTGAGCAGCGCATTTCCATGCACCATGGAGCCAGCTCTAGAGTCTACTTGTATATTTTGGACTCATCAGAAATTTCTCAGTGTCCTTGTTCAAAGGTATTCTGTGCATATTAACCAACACTTCTGATGGTTCAGAACCTAAAGGTACCAGGGCACACCTGCTCCTCTATGGAAAGCTGAAGGAAAAAGACAATGGCACTTTTTAAAAAATTTTAACTCCAGAAATATTTCATTTCATTCTTGGTTTTAAAAATTTAGTCCAGGGACCAGCAGTTAGTGTAATGGCTATGTCGTTGGACTCCCATGTAGTCGACTGTGGTTCGTGTCCTGGACCCGGTGGCTTAAACTCACGCCAGGCATGTGTGTGTGCATGCCCAAGATCCCGAGAGGAGAATGGAGGAGAAGGGATTGTGGCATGGCCATCCCCTTGGGGGGCGATTTCTCGCTTTCTGTCTCTCTGTCTCTCTCTGTCTGTCTGGCGAGCACATGCACCCTATAGCAAAAAAAAAAAGAAAAGAAAAGAAAAGAAAAAAAAAAACACCTTAAAAAAAAAAAATTTAGTCTGCATTCCCCCTTTGGTCAAGAGTCTAGTAGCATTGAACCAGAAATCAATAAGCAGGGCTAGGTAAAGGAGTTTCTTCTGACAATGCAGTAAGGAATGGAATGCAGTTCTGTAAAAACATTCTTTTGCTTCCTTAATTGTGGGTTTCCTGAGCATCCCTCCTGAAGACTGCTGTTTCACAGGTATTGAGTTTGCTTCTAGAGTTTATCACCCACGTGATAGTGAGCCTCCTGGGAGACGCTTTCACAAAACAAGAATTTCAAAGTTTTTTTTCTGACTTTGAGTCTGCTATGGTTCTGAGTATTTTTCCCCCAAATTCATGTGATAAAATGTGGTTGTGACAGAATAAAGGGGGTGAAAACTGAATCTGCCTGTGGGATTTAGGGGCCTTTGGAAGGTTGGTTAGGATTAAGGTCATCAGATGGGCTCCCAGGATTGAATCCTGGTGGGCTCATAAGGAAAATGAATGAAGGACACACTTTCACATATGCGCTGTGTCTCTCCACGTGACACTCTCCACCTTGTTATCCGCCATGACAGCCCTCACCAGATCCAGCCCCTGGACCTCGGACCTCAGTTGTTACAAATCACCCAGACTCGGGCCTTCAATTTTTAAGCAACAGAGAACTGACTAAGACAAGTTTCGTGCCAGGAAATAAACCAAATTGCAATGCTTATTGTCAATAAAAATAAAGGCATTAAAATACCATGTCTTTGAAATTACTAGAAAGGAATCACCTGGTGTTCTTCCCTGATCACTTGGCACATTAGCCTTCCTATCCTACAAGGTCTCACTGTGCCTCAAGCAAGGCTCCCCTTGGTCCAGACTGAAGACTCACTGCTCTCTGCTGTGGATTCTCAAAGCACTTAATCTCTACCCTCTTCTAGCTGTAATTATGTTTCCTATAAATACTGTAACTTCTCTGAGGACATAATATAATGCTGTGCACATAATAGACCTCAATAAATATTTGTTTAATGACAAACTGAATGAAATACAAGGAAGCAGCTGGCCCTAGTAAACACCGAAGTCTTTCCACTTCTAAAAATCTTAAAAGGAAGTGGTGTGTGTGTGTGTGTGTGTGTGCACCTCCCTCCGATTTCCTCTCAATACCAAAACTCAATTGCTACAATCAGAAAAAAAGCCTAAGCCAGGAAATGCAACTAGAAATGATTAAAAATAGCAACATGTAAAAGCAACATTTTATAAAGGAAACATTTCAAGTACATAAAGGCTGGTTTAAAAGGAAAGGAGGATTGGCTTGGAGGCACAAAAACTCTACCCGTGCTAACATTATAAACTACACAAATGCCCCCAAGGGAATCCCACCCAGCATTCTCTTGCTTCCTTTCCTAGGGTGGAAGACTGCGCTTTGACTCAGGTGTGTGCGTGTGTGCAGGACCTTGTTGGACCTCAGTTGTTACAAATCACCCAGACATTTGAGGACGTGACTAACGACACACCTGATGATATCAAAATGTACAACTGTTTTACCAGTTTGAGCTGGTCACTATACTTTCCTTATAAATACTGGGTTGTCGGAAAAGTCATGACATATTTTTTTCTATGCAAAAATGTGTCATGACTTTTCCAAAGACTCGAGAATCAGCATTGGAGCCAGCAGGTGGCTGGCATGGTGTTAGTCAAGGGCTGGACTTCTACATGGCCAGCCGCGGTTTGAGTCTCCGACTCAGTGGCTTTAAAATCTCACCAGGCAGGCGTGCATGTGTGCATGTGCACACATATACCCTAAATCCCAAGACGATAGAGAAGGGATGGCAGCATGGCCATCTCCTTCGGTGTGTGTGGTGGGTGATTTCTCACTTTCTCTCTGTGTCTCTATCTCTTTCCAGTGAGTACACATGTAGTATGTCAAAATAATAACAATAATAAATACTAAAAGCAATATAAAATACTGTAGAGCTACAGCAGTGTTTCAGATGACTTCTGCTTTCTGGAAATAGTCAACTATAATTCTAAAATGTTAGGGCTCTAGAACAGGACCCAGTAGAAAACATGTCCTACGAAGAATGGAAGACTCAGAAGTCACAGACGTCATTCTGCCAAGAAATGACAGTGAAAGGATGTTACACGGTAGACACATCTCAGACATCCAGGGCTCTGTGGGAGGCCCCATGAAATACAGTAGGTTAGAATGACACAAATAGCCTATGTCACTCAGGGAAGCAAAAACCTAAGATCAACAGAACCAATGTCGAATTATTCCATATAACCATTTATGAGTATCCTCACTATAAAAATGAGAACAGATACTGGCCTGGATTGTAAGGATAACCATGTAACTCCCTATCGTAGATAGTTGCTACTTTGGCCTATCTGGTGCCTGGGCCCACTCTGTGTGATGTTCCAGGGGAGCCACCAAACCTAATCTTATCTCCTTGGCTCCCATAGGATGGCCCCTACATGTTAGTTCCAGGGACGTGCACAGACCAGGGCAGAGCCAGCTCCCTGGTTACAGCGATCGGTTCAGGCATGTGCACATGACTCAAGCCAAAGTCAAACCTGGAACTTGGGAGAGAAAAAGCTCTCTTTCACCACACATAATGAGCTGAGAACAAAAGTCAGCTATGGCCACAAGGCTACTAGATGAAAAGGGCAAAAACCAACAGAGAAAAATGCCCAGTCAAGAGACAGAGATTGAGTTCTGAGGATGGTGTTAGATCTCCTGCATCAAGGCATACCTGACACAAAACGTTCTCTAAGACTTTACAGTTACAGAGGCCATTAAGTTCCACTTCTATCACTCGAGCCAGTTCAACTTGGCTTGCAGTCAATTGCATCCCGAAGAGATTTTACTGATTTTTCAATATATAAAAAAAGGAACTTGTTCTACCATTAATAAAGCACTCAGTTGCTAACTCCAGGTGGTACAGTGAAACAATGATGTTTCCGTGAAATAATAGTGGAGAAACACACAGGTATGGGCCCACAGGAAAATCTAATGGGACTCTGTCCCACCTCAGGTTTCTAATGTTAGATTACTACTATTGTTTCATTCCCATCATAAGAAATTCATAATTTTTTCACACACAACAGTAAAGGAAGTGGATCTGTAGATTTCCATCATGACAACCAAAAGCCTACTCACATATTACATATAAAATAGATTTTGCGAGAGATTTTTTAAAAGCAGTTATGAAAATGTCATGGCGTAAGTACTGAATGAATGACTTAATGTTTGGCTGCTGAAATACTTACCTATTTCATGCCTGCTCTGTGTTATAGACTCTTAATTTAACACCAACCAGGATGAAACCCTTGTTTAAAATCCCAATTGGGGGGCCAGCAGGTGGTGGGGTCGTTAAAAGTGCCGAATTCCCCCATGGTCGACCACCGTTCAAGTCCCAGACCTGGCAGCTTGCTTTCTCACTTTCCCTCTTTCTTTCTTTCTCTCTCTCTCTGTCTTTCTCTCTCTCTGTCTCTCTCTGGTCTAAATAAAGTTAATTATTTTAGTTAACTTTATTTAACTTTTTAATAAAAAAATCCCAGTTGGATTACTTTACTTACACACCACTCAGGACATTAATAGACTGTGTCTTCGTTCCATATCCAGTCTCCTTTAAGTTAGCAACAATTCCTAATACATCAATACTGGAACCTTTGGATCCAAAGTTTTTTTCACTGTACATTATCATGTGGGCATTCGAAAAATCCTGTTGAGAAAAAAATATTCACAATTCAAAGGCTAGATATTTATGATTCAAAAAAGGCTGAGTACTAGCCATTAGCTTTTCTTTAACTTACACCTAGTATAGGCCGTAAAGACTGAAGTTCTCCATTGTAACCTCCCCAGTCTTTCCAGTCCTTGTATTCTCCTTCTTCTAACAAATACTGATGACCAGCAAATCCAGGCTTCTCGTAAGCAACCCAACTGCAATAGAAAGAACATGGAGTAGTAATGTTTAGGTGTGCTAAGATCATTCCAATATACATAGTAGTTTGGATGACAGAACTACTTTGTGAAACAAATAGGTATAAAGCTAGATGTTAATTTAGGCATTTTCTGAAATGTAGGAGAATAACAGGATGGTGCTAAGAAGAGCCAAGACACACACATCTGTTCTGTGAAGGCGTGTAGGGGAGTGTGTAGGTGTGAGTGCACGCACGTGCGCCTGTGTGTGTCTGTGAAATAACTGAATCAAAGGATCTCAGTCAGTAAAACTGGATGACAAATAGTGATTAAAATGTTATGAATACTTTGCAATTTATAAGACAAATTTTAATATATTTTTCTTTAGGAAATGTGAGAAAGGTAACATGAAAAATATAAAATTCAGAAAGCAAATTATCAGTTCAGCAGATTGGAACGTAATTCTAATAAATAGATTGGAGATTTAGTCAATCTCAACAGGCCAGTTTCTCAGCCTGGCAGGTGGGCTGACTACCCCAGTCCCTCTAATGGCTTTCACAAGTCCAGGCCACAATCGGCTGAGAAGAACAGATACAGCTGTCAAAATTCACCATATCTTAGAGTCGGGAATGTTGTCTTTTGGAAGGCAGGGGCATATTTATTACTTTATTAAGGGGGAAAGGAAAAAGCCCTTACAGGTTACCCTGTCTACTTACATGCCTCTTAGAACCTTCATAGATCCCACTGACGGAAACGGTAGGCGGTCGTCCCCAGCAGTTTCTTCATTCTCCTCTCCCTCCATGATTAAACTACACATTTCTGTCTCTAGTGCCATACATTTTCCTTCAAAGGACGGCTTTTCATAAATAACCACCTACAGTAGAAATAAGATACCCAGTCATTTCTAAGAAGTAACTATCTCAACAGTTAAACATTCAATCAACCATTTAACATCACTAAGTTCTGGAACACAAACTAAAATTTTCTAATCATATTTTTTTTAAAAATCGTATTTTGTATGCTGTGATGATGCTCAGGGAATGAATAAATTAATTAATTTTTAAAAAATATTTCAGAAGAAAATTACAGTGCACTCGTCACCAGATTCTAGCATTGTCCATATTTTTAGTTTAAGGTATTTTGTGAATCAATAAAATGTGGATAAGAAGTTTAGTATGGGAGAGAGAGAAGGGGAAGAGGGAGGAAAAAAAAGTAAAAGTATGCTTAATTGACAAAAAAACGAGAAACTATTTGCTGCTAAGTTATAAAGTAATATCTTTGGCTTGACTGACATGCATACTATTTGTGCTGGCAAAAGAAATATTGCACACTGTCAAGATGAGATCAAATGTAAATAAATAAATTTTAAAAAATTAAAAATAAATAACGGAACCAGTAGATGGCATAGTGGTTACATTGCTGGAACCACTTGTTTGGTCAAATGTGGTTTGAGGCCAGACCCAGTGGCTACAAACATGCTGGGCTCCTGTCCAGGAAGAGAATGAAGAAGAAGGGATTACGGTGTGGCCATTCCCCCGGGGCGTGATTTCTCACTTTCTGTTTCTCTGTCTCTATCTCTCTAGAGAGCAAACACATCCTGTATAGCAAAATACTCTTCAAATAAATAAATAAATACATAAATAACACTATCTGATAATATAGGTTATTTAACAAAATCATGGGCATTTTTTTTTTTTTTTGATGTGGTATAGTCCAAGTAAATGTTAAAAGGAAGGTTTTAAATATTTGGTTTTTGCTCGCTATCTAAAACTGATGTTTAGAATTTCACTTAGGCTAAAACTAAGAAACCAAAGGATTTTAGAGTGGCTTTTTTTTTTTGGAGAGGTTTTTGCTATAGGGCGCATGCACTCGTAAGAAAGGCAGAGAGAGACAGAGAGATAGAAAGCAAGAAATCACCCCCTAGGGGGGATGGCCACGCCGCAATCCCTTTTCCTCCAGTCTCCTCTCGGGATCCTGGGCACGCATGCACATGTGCCCAGCGTGAGTTTTAAGCCACTGGGTCCAGGAATTGAACCGCAGTTGGCTACATGGGAGTTCAGAGACATAGCCATTATGCTAACTGCTGGTCCCTAGAGTGGCTTTAAAATTGAAAAAAAAAAAAAAAGAAAAGAAAACTATTGAATAAAAATATGTGACACAGATGTGGGAAATAGGAAGAGCAGAAACATTTTGGTGTAGGGAGAGCTTGTCGTGAAAAGAACAGTCTTTTTCTAGCTAAGAAGCAAGCAGCAACAGGCCCTGCAATTAGTTAGTACAACCACAAATGACAAATTTAATACAACAATGAACCTTTTGAGCCGCGGCTCATATACTCTTAGTGCTAATTCGTGCCGTCAGCATCATCTTCCAGCCGGAGATGACGGCACGTGTAAGCTGGACTGTTTTTGACTACAATCCGACTGGATGGAGGTTGACAGAGGAAGTCACAGAATATTATCTTCATGGTGATGGAGTGGGAATACAATTTTAAATATAAATACACATCACACACACACACACACACACGCGCGTGTGCGACACTCACACGTTTTATTTTTTACCTTTGGATCCGTAGGGAATTCAACTTTACGGCCACCCTGGTAAGAAAAATTACATAGTAAGGAAAATAGTTTCTCTTTGATACATCATCATTTTATAGTCCCCAGAGCGGTCTGTGGTAGGCCACTGACGACCCTTGCAGTCTGATTCTGTGTGGTTTGTTCTGACTCACCAGTGAGACTTCTAAAACCACCAGCAAAGCAGGTGAAGACCTGCAGCAGGCAGTCCAGAGCAGGTCTCGCATGGGTCTTCTACAAGCGAGATCTGCAAGTTAGGTGTGTTTAAACCAGTAACTTTTTTTTTAATCCCTGACAATTTTTCATAAAGTCCTTATTTCTCACTTTTCTTGGAAAACAGCTCTGAGACCTGACATCTCAGACAGCAACATCCACCTTCTGTGTGTCAGTCCGACACTGGGCTCACCCTCAGCTGGGACGGAGGCCCCAGGTGGCTGTCTCCACCACTCCCCGTGGTTCAGCTTCCAGGAGCCTCACTCCTAATTGCTACCTGGCCCTGGTGGCATCCAACTCAACAACCACGGCCTACACAACTGCTGAAGTTCACACAATACGATCTGGAGGACGCTTGGTGTAACAAACTATGAAAATCCCACAGGACGGGCCTATGGAGAGGTTGTTACCCTTGTATAATTAAAAGGCTTTTTTAAAATCCCTACAAATGTAATAGAACAATAAACCAGAGAAAAGATATTAAATAAAAATATTAAACAGGCCAAGAGATCAGCAGTGAGAAAGTCAGAGGTTATTTTCCACTAATATATCTTTAACAGTTTAAAATAAGAAGTCCGGCCAAAGACGCTCGTACGCACCAACGGCACTGTAATTATAAAGGAATAAAGGTGATTCGAGCAGCAACCTGAGCTTATACACCCAGGTAAGCACACTTTTCAAAAGTAACCTTTTTTAAAAGCTGTAAGCTTTACAGTTTTGTAAATAATCATTAAAAACTACTTTCAAGGCCAGCCAAGGTAGCTCTTACTAGTAGACACTGCTGAGGCCACACGGAGAGCCCAGGTTAGATGACCAGTCCACCCTAAAAGTGTCATACTCAGTCAGGAGGATCACGACACAGGGGACCCTGTCTTAAAAAAAAAAAAAAAAAAAAAAAAACCTGCTTGGAAACTTAGGGCAATTCTTTTAAATAGTCACAAGAGTAGCAAAACTTTGTTCTTTAAAGTGGATTTAATTTTTTTAAGTCCAGATCATGTGCAATTAAGACTAGAAAACATGCAGGTAACTAAATCAAATGCTTTGGCAGGAGGGATATTAAGATTTTTAATAATGTCTTCGTTTTCCAACTCATCTTAAGTGTACCCTAAAAAGTGGAGTTTCAAAAACAGGTTTTTAACAGGAGCCTCGTTCTCACCACAGGAGTTTACTCCAAGGCAGCACGACCGTGGCCAGCACGAAGGACAAGATCGAGCAGCCTGGCTCCTCTCAAAGCTGACAGAAGAGGCAAACTACAGGGATCGGTGGAGAAGCTCCAGCTCCTTTCTAAGGCGACTGCCTGGGAGGGCAACACTCATTTGTACACCCAATGCCAGCGCCTCCATCCTAGCCTCCCATCGCTCAGCTGGGCTGGTCCCCCGCACGCCCTCTCTCCCCAGTTCTACTCCCCAGCTCACACAGAGCTCCATCTAAAATAATCCTGCTCATTTTTAAGACCCAACTTGATTGATCTTGAAGCTTTCCTAATTTCCCCTCTTCTCTGTTAAGTCACCCACAAGTTGAAATTTTATTAACCTTTCTCCTGCTTTTCACAAACTTCTAATTCTTTACTTTCTCTGTTTATTTAACCTACACTGGGCTAAAGCTTTGGGCAGGTTTGTGGCTCTGCCAGGCTTAGGATGCCTTGTAGGCAAAAGACAGAGTCTTAGCCACATTTTTTAACCTGCAGCATCTAGCAAGTTATTATTTCTATTATTTCTATCAAGCATAGGTCCCATCTACTACAAACGACATGCTTTTTAAAAAAAAATTATTTATTATTTTTTTTTGTTTACTATTCTTCTTCAACTTGACCAGAGAGAGAAAGAGACAAAGAGAGTGAGAAAGCAAGCCACCAGGTCCAGGACTTGAACTGTGGTCGGGCATGTGGGAGTCCAACGCCTCAACCACCACACCACCTGCCAGTCCCTACATGCTTATTTTTAAAAAGCCAGTTTTATTGTTTCAAAGTTGCATCAAAATACCAACGTCAGGGCCTTTCAGGACACACCTTGATTTCCTCTTACCATTTTCAGAGGCCGCATGGATCCAATGTACGCTTCATCTGTGTCCCAGAAGGATAAGTCAGGGTATTCTCCAGGTTCCAGGACAAAAGGGAAACCATGGAATCCAGGGTTTTCATAAATCAGCCATCTAAACAGACACAAAGAAAGGAAAGAAATGGAGACAACTTATCACTTATTTTAGGTTTTCCTCCTGTCTGGTACACAGGAGCCCATGGATGAGAGAAACAAGAGGATGTGGACCCTGTGATACACACTCAGGCATTAGAATTGTGTTAGACTCTCAGAGGGATGAGCCAGGCTGTGCTACTCTTCATTTTTTTTTTTTTTTGAGAGGTTTTTGCTATAGGGCGTGGGCGCTCGCCAGACAGAGAGACAGAAAGTGAGAAATCACCCCCCAGGGGGTATGGCCATGCTGCAATCCCTTCTCCTCCATTCTCCTCTTGGGATCTTGGGCACACACACACACACGCCCGGCATGAGTTTAAGTCACCGGGTCCGGGACTCAAACCGCGGTTGACTACGTGGGAGTCCAGCAACATAGCCACTACACTAACTGCTGGTCCCTGTACTACTCTTCATTTTAAAAAATTTTTGCCAGAGGACATGTGCACTTGTCAGAGAGAAACAGAGACAGACAAGACAGGGAGAGGAGAAAGCACCCTCCAATGAGGTGGAGTCACACCGCAATCCCTTCTCTTCCGTTTCTCTATCCTGTTGGTATTTGGGGCACACACATAACATGCCAGGGTGAGGATCTGAACCATGTGGTCAGCCATGTGGGATCCGGCTCCCTTAACCACCATGCCAGGACCAGCACTGTGCTTCTCATCTTGATCTTAATTTTCTCCATGTGGGATCCAGCACCTCACCTCCAAGCCACCTGCTGGCTCATGACATAGGTATTTCTGACAGGGTCTCATGACATCAACAGCCCCCTGCCTCAGCCTCCCCGTTAGCTAGGACCACATGCAAATGCCATGCTCCTAGCCTTTTAGGTTAGGTTGGGAACTGAACCTGGGCCTCCCATCCTGCCCCAGCCACTGCACAGTGGCACGCTCCTACCTGTGTAGCTTGGCTGGGTCCTAAGTCTTTTTTTTTTTTTTTAATGGCAATTTATCTCATTACACAATTACTCAAAATCATCACTGTGAGCATTATTTAATGCACAGTGGTGTCCTCAGGGGCTCAGAAGGTCTACAGGGCTGCTCATTCCCAGACTGCAAAGCTTTTTGAGTTCTTAGTTGTAATTTTTATGGCTTTACAATACCGCACCCTTCTATCAGGCTTGTTAGCTGTCACTTCTGCTTTGGTCAGGGAACCAGCAGGCCCACTCTCCTATAAATGTGCTAAAAACCAGGAAACCAGCAAACCACACCTGTTAACTACTGCCCGTAAAAACTGCAACGTCTTGTAAATATCTTGGTTCCCAAGTGGGTTCTGGGAAGGCGAGGTTGTTGGAAAAGTGATTTTTCTATAAGAAATGTGCTAAAGTAGCCCCTTCACAGACAGTTCTTGGGGATCACTTAAGCTCTTCAACTCTTTCTTAGTCTGGCTAAAATACACCAGCTGGGGTGCTGCACCATGTTCCCCGGACACTATGCCAAGAAGAGTGTGGCCATAGACGAAATCTTTTACTAGCAAAATGGGTCTGATATGCCCCCTTAGCTTTTTTCTTATTTCTAATTTTGGCCCCAGGCACATTTTTGGTGATGATCTTGTTAAAGACTCCCCTGGATAAATCAGTAACTTCTTTAGAGTCACTGATTATACAGGGATTTACAATCAGAATACTTGTGATCTGTCAACACACATGAAGAATGCTGGGATGTGGGAGGCGGGGCTATACCAGTGGGGGGACAGAAACGAACCTGCAGTCAGGATAACAGTTAACAGGGAAGGGTGGAAGACTGGGGGAGGCATGAATGAGGGGCATCTGAGATGCTGCTTATAGTCAGTTTCTTGACTGGGGTGATGGTTACACTCGTGTAATCACTTTACGAAAATTCATTCAGCTCATACACTTAGGATCTGATATGTGCCTCTTTGAGCAAATGTTATACTTTGAAAAAATTTAAGAAGGGGTTGGCAGGTGGCATGGTAGTTAAGGCGCTGGACTCCCACATGGCCGACCACGGTTTGAGTTCTGGACCTGGTGGCTTGCTTTCTCACTTTCTCTCTCTCTCGCTCTCTCTCTGGTCATGTAAAAAAATAATGAATAAAATTTAAATAAAATAATTTATTTTTAAGTTAAAGAAGAAAATAGGCTTGTGTTTTAAATACCACCATAATGCCCCTAAACCACAAGAAAATGGAGGCTAAGAATGGAGCACTTTAAACTTCCTTATGATTAAAGCATGAGTTAAGGGACCAGGAGATGGCTTAACAGTTATGTCACCGGACTACCACGTGGTCAAGTCCCAGACCTGGTGACTTAGAACTCATGTTGGGCGCATGTGCACCCATGCCTAGGAACCCGAGAGGATAATAGAGGAGAAGGGACTGTGGTGTGGCCATCGCCCTGGGGGGTGAATTTCTCACTTTCTGTCTCTGTCTCTCTGGTGAGCACGTGTACCTTACAGCAAAAATTTCTTTAAAACAAAAAAAGCGTGAGTTAAGAATACCTTATATACATATATTTTTAATTCCATTTGTTATTATTATCTTTAATTTGACCAGAGAGAGAAAAAGGGAAAGCGAGAAAGCAAGCCACCAGGTCCGGGTTCGAACTTCCATTGGCCATGTATGTGGGAGTCCAGCACCCCAATCACCATGCTACCTGCTGGCCCCGCCTTACATATTTTTTGAAGCTCAGATCTATCATAGGCACACAGCCTGTGGGTTTTATATCCTAACTAAATAAACGCAGCTCCATAATAAATTATGTTTGTAAGCTAACAAGTCAAAGAAGACATTGAAGTCTAACTCCTTCAGAAGGGAATGGGCTTGATTTTTGATAAACAGAGTCCATAAATAGTGGGTTCTGGGATTCTGAAATGATGTGCACCTCAGAACCCTCTACATTAAATCTTCCCTTTCATACTTTGAGTTCTGAGGAGAGTTATTCATCTGCTACTAAAATTTTCACTTTTGTTGAAACATGTGGGTTAGTCACATAACATTTATACAAGGAAGGTGATCTGGAATACAGGGAAATTTGTTAAAAAGCTGAACACATAGGCTGACATATTTGAAAAGACAGCTGTGCTGGGAGTCCTCCCTCAGCAAGGTATGAGGGCCTGCCGTGAAATGCAGACAGACAGTCAGGAATGCTGGGTGGACTTCGGAATTTGAAAACAAAAACAGGGCGTGATTAATTTTTCCTAAATTCTGTTCCAACAGGATATATTATTTATAAGGTGATCAGAAGAGCGAGAAACGATCTTCAGGCAGTTCTAAAGGTGCTCTTTTATTTTCCCATGTACTTGGGTAATGAGTTTTGCCCACATACATAAAACATAACAAATGCGTACATAGAAATGAATGCTGCTGAATAATAACAGCCATCTTTACACTCAATCAAATCATTTGTATAATTGCTCTCTTAGAAATGTCTTTAGAAACACATGAAAGCAATTAGTTTTATCTTGTTCAGTTGTTCTTAATCCAAAAGGGTACAGCACTTCCAGCTGCATCCTAAGTCTCATTCCCCAGACATGGCTGCACGTGAATGCTGGCTGTTGACAGAAGCCAGCTGGAGAGTCAAAAGATCAAATATGAATACACCAACTTTGCGGTTGTTCAAAAGAGGGTAGGCTGTGAGTCTCAGAGTGGGAAAACATACCTTTACAAAGGAGAGATGGGAGGCACTACTTTAACCGAGCCATCAGATGCTGTCTCATTAGTGGGTCCCCTGGCTACACATGCCACCTGATGTGAGGCAACACAGAGACATAGCGCTATAGGAAGTATCTTGCCCAAATCCTTGTCCAATCGTACCTTGGACCTAGCTCCTGGTATATGGAAAGTTCAGGTCATAGAGGAACAAACTAAACAGTATCATGAGGAAACACTCAGACAAATCCAGAACGTGGCACATTCTCTAAAGACAGTGGGCCTGAGCACTTGAAACAGTCTGAGTTGGGAAATAAAGATGAAGGTACTAGGCCGATCTGATAGCTCAGCAGTGAAGGGAGCGAGATCCCTCACGGCTGACTGCAACGCGGATCCAGGCCCTGGCAGCTTGTAAAACAGGCTATGACATGATCACCCCCTTGTGGCATGCTTTCTCACTTGTTCTCTCTCTCTCTCCCCCTTTCTCTCTGCCTCTCTGTGGTGAATGCATGTGCCCTATTGCAAAATTAAACAAACAAAAAAAACATGCTGAACACTTCTACATGCCCCAAATCCTGATGGAATGAAGAAGTGGAGTAAAAGGGATTGCCACAGGGCCACGCCCCACTCAGAGGTGCTTCTCCCTCTCTCCTCTGTATCTATAGTGAATGCACTCACCCTCTAGCAATTATATATATATATATATACACACACACACATACACTATAAATATTATATATATAAATAGTATATATACACACTATATACACATATATAGTATATATATATAGTGTGTATATATATATGTATGTATATATATATAATGTAAAAAGTATATTTTTAGAGAGTAAAAAAGGGACTTAGAGACACAGAAACATCAAATGCAATTATATGAACCTTGACTGGATCCTGAATAGAAAAAAAAACAAATATATAAGAAACATTCCTGAAGCAACTGGAAAAATGTGGTTATGGTCTATAGATCGGAGGTTAGCAGAGACATATTTTTCATTTTCTTAGGTATGACAGTGACAGCTATGTAGGAGCAGGCCATTATAAAGAGAGTCAGGTTGAAGTATACAGGAATGAAGGATCATAGTATCTTCTACTTACTTGCAAATGCTCAGAAAAAGAAAACCCGAGTATGACAAAATGTTACTTACTAAATTGAAGTGGATGATATGTGGGGATTCACTGAACTCTTCTTTCTTTGTTTCTGTATATTTGCAAAACTTCGTAATAAAAAGAAGGGCTCTAATAGCTCTGATACACTCCACAGTAAAAGCACGCAGTGGATACTGCATATCAAGGGAAAAAGAGTAAAATACAGACATACGCCACCTGGGTAGCCTTCGGAGAGCGGCTCTATGTGTGAAAAGGTCAGAGGGTGGGGGTCAGGGAGGGCCGCAGTGGGCTCTGCAGCAGTGCTGGCAATAGTCCAGGCATAGGTCTAGGCAGTTGTGTGGTGAGCACTGGGGGTTTACTATTAGGCTTTGTAACTCCCACATATGCATATATTCTTCTGTATATACCAATTTTTTTTTGGAGAGGTTTTAGTTGTAGGGCACATGCTCTCGCCAGAAAGACAGAGAGATAGAAAGCAAGAAATCATCCCCCAGGGGGGATGGCCACTCTGCAATCTCTTCTCCTCCTTTCTCCTGTCGGGATCTTGGGCACGCACATGCACGCACACGCGCCTGGCATGAGTTTAAGCCACCGGGTCCAGGACTCAAACCGCCATCAACTACATGGGAGTTCAGCAGCATAGCCATTACGCTAACTGCTGGTCCAAATATTTTGTAGTAAAATGAGGAAAGATTGTTTTGGCCATTGAAAATGTCCCTTAACAGGTCAGCCAGTGACTTGGTGGTTGAGGCGGCTGGATTCCACACAGCCTACCATAGTTGAGGTTCCAACCTGGCAACTTTAAAAAAACGCTGGGTGCAAAAGCACACATACTCCAAATGCTGAGAAAAGCATGAGGAGAAGGTATTGTGGCGTGGCCATACTTCCTGGAGTTGTTTTTTTAATTTTTCTTCTCTCTCTTTTCATCAACACAGGTACCCCAAATGTTCAAAAAAATAAAAACAAAAACAAAAACAAAACAAACAAAACACAGTATGTCCCTTGACTTCAGAACACTTACATCTTGCTACGTGTTCTGTTAACAACTAACCCTAGTCTGGAGAAAGTAGACACAGTCTTTTTTCCTTGGTTAAATGATAGTGTTGGACCAGATCATCTTTATGCTTCCTTTGAGGTTCTAGAATTCTAATTTTTGTATATTAGAAATATATCTCTCTGGGCCAATAGGTGGCACAGTGGTTAACGTGCTGGACTCCCACATGGCCGACCACGGTTTGACTCCTGGACCTACCAGCTTGCTTTCTCACTTTCCCTTTCTCTCTCTGGTCAAATTAAAAACAATAATAATAAGAAGAACAACAAATAAAATTAAATAAATAATTCAAATATATATATATGTGTGTGTGTGTGTGTGTGTGTATATATATATATATATAATCTTCCTAAATAAGAAAATAAAAATGACACTCCACTTCACCTTGGGAAAATGAGTGCCAAGATTAGCTACCTGCTTAAAACAAAGGCTTAAATACAGATTCTACTTGACAGACTGAAAGGCAAATTTAGTTTTAGCAATTACTCATTTCCTCAAATAAGAATCAGCTCAGACAAGTAATACCCTTCTTTCGTGTATGTGTAGAAGGGTCTAATCTGTAGTGAATGGGCCTTGGAATAAATTGCCAAATGGAACCTTAAAAAGTGCTCCCCACACCAACAACTTCTAGGGGGAACAGATGCCATTTGACCAACAGATGCAAAACAAACATATTGGTTAAATCCTCTCAAGTCATTAAGACTCTCCTTGGAGAGCTATATAAACACTAATAACCCGGCCCCTAAGCTCACCCCAACGAATAAGCCCAAACATTAAATTGACATCCAAGACACCTTTATTCTCATGACAACAAAGATAAGCAGAAAAAAGACGTTTATCACCATGCAAGCCCATCATAAACAGAAAGCTACGGCAGACCTGTAACCACCACCTCTGAGGCCAGGCTGAACTTACAGCCAAGGTACCAAACACGCAAGTGCAGCTCACTACGCTTCAACATAGCCCAAGCCTGAGTCATAAAACCTCCCAGACACTGAGATTAAAATATTATGCCAGACGCCTTTTTCGTTCTTTTCTGGGGGAAGTGATGTTTCTGAACTTAACCAGCACTTTGAAAAAAGTACAGAGATTCATTGGACGTGAAAAAATTAAAGGCAACAAGAGATGGAGGCATTTTCTCTTGCTTCGATTCCTCTCAATCTCTATACAAGTGCCTTAGGCTCAGCCCGTGGCTTCTCCTTATAAATACACTCACTGCCCTTGGGACCGTGTTTTGCCCTGGGACTAAACCTGCCGTGGTTGGAATACCTTCTCCACGCTGATGACTACTGCATTTCCTCATTCAGCCTCTCCCTTGAAGCTCCAGCCTCATGTACCCAACCACTTCCCCGCCCTCTCACTTGAACTTGGAGTTGTCATCACAGAAGTACCCTGTCCAGAACTGAACGTCTAAACTGCACTCTTTTCCAGCCAAGTCTTCTCCATCTCCATGTAAGCTGGGGGCTCCAAACCCTGGCTGCTTCTCGGCCCTCTACGTCTCACATACAACCCGTCAGCAAATGCTGTCGGTTCTGCTTCAAAATGCATTCAATGTCTGACCATTTCCCACCACCACTATCACATTGTCTCAGCCACCATCGCCTTTTGCCTATGGATTGCAATTGCCTCCTGACTGGTTGTTTTGCCTCTTCGTGGTTTAGTTTCTACACAACAGTCAGAGTGATGCTTCTAAAGTACATGTTAGAGCAAAATTCTCCCATGATTTCGTTTGCCATTTAGAGTAAATCTCAACTCCCCTCCCCATGGTTAAAAAAAATTATTAAGGTAAATAAGATGCCTGTCCTAAAGGCAAATAAATTAATAAATGAGCAAATAGTCATAAAGGAGGTATCTAATTCTCACTTTCCTCCCCTCTAGAAAGCCTCTGAATAAACTGATAATTGTCCTTCACTTTAATACCTCCTATGTAAGAAACTCTCTACCTGACAAGGCAGCCCACTTCCATTAACTACTGTAACTATTAGAAAGTTTTTCACAAGGCCAAATTAAAATCTACCTCTTGGGGTCAGCAGCAGTGGTACAGCAGTGATGCAACATTCTGCAATGCTGAAAATGTCTCAGGTTCACCTCCCAAGGTCTCCCTGTGCACACCGGGCATGTGTGAATGCCCGTGATCCAGGCTGGCTGAGACTGGGATAGACTATGGTGCAAGACCCTGTTGGGGGTGTCTGTCTCTGTCTCTCTCTAATGGAGGAAGTAAAATAAAACAAGCTTAAAAGCAAATCCGCCTCTCTAGTTTCTACTGGTGTTTCCTAGGACCTCCTATGAAATAGCAGAGAACAGGTCTAATTCCTCTTCCATGTGATCGACTTTCATCTATTCAAGAATGGCTGCCACCCCAAGTCCAAGACACAATAGTCATGTTTCTTATGAAGTTGTCCAGAAATTTTAGTTCCTGATTTCAGAGGACCAAAGATCAGACCCTGTGATCTCTAATTTACCAAAATCCTACATTCTGCACAATCAATCGTTTTCCCAAAATAAGAACAACAGCAAACCAAGAGTTTTAATAATTATTAGAATTCAAAAGACATGATTAAGCAGTGCCTTATCATTCACTGCAGAGACATTCTAAAACACTTTATGGGCAGACTATAAACATTTTTAACAGCATATTTCATTCCAAATTTTAAAAACTTATGAGCATTTATATATATGAATATTTATAAGTCATAAATATATTAGGTTGTCTGCAAAGTCATGACATATTTCTATGCAAAAATGTGTCATGACTTTCCCAACAATCACCACTGAATATATTACACACTTCAGAAAACATACACAAAAATAAAACCTGGAGAAGTTTTAAATAAAATGTAAAGAACGTTCGTGTGGGTTTTTTCCCCTGCATCTCAGTGGACGTCACTCAAGTCCTGGACTATGCTCGGCACTTACAGACCACATTCTCGACTACTGCAGTTTGCACTTCCTATGCTAATCTCTCCCCTATCTGAGATATCCCCATTTCCTTCAAAATAGTCCAGTTCTTTCCTGCGATTTGTGAAACCAATATCCTAGGGGCTCTGGGCAGCATTGTGTGACTATGTTAAAGGAAGTAACCACCACGTGTGTTTTGGCTTCCATCCCGCACATGCTCTGAACGCCCTCCCTGCAATCTGGTGTGATTTGTTACTCTGAATGAACCAGGTTCCTCTGTGATTAGGGAAGACCCTACATTAAAAACTGCAGTTTCCCCTCCAACACACCCTCTAATACATCACTATTGTTTATCAGAGAGGTGAGTCATAGGCATATAGGTGCAGAAGAATCAGAATTTGAGTCTACTTTACGGCATCACGGCACGGTAATGCACTGCTCAGGAGAAAGGAGATCCCACATGGCAGTTGCAGTTCAGAACTCCCGCCCAGGGGACCTGAAACACACTGGGCAGCACATGAGTGCAGAGGAACTGGTGGGTGGAGACTGGAGGAAGGGGACTGCAGAGGGACCAGACCCTGTAGAGGGCGCTCATCCCTCTCGCGCGCTCTTTTTTTCTCATGAAATAGAGCATATGCTCTAGCGTGAATAAAAATATTAAAAATTTAATATTATATTAAATTATATCATATACTATATAAAATTGTGTATTTTGTATTTTATAAAACTTTTTTTTGTAGAATATAAAAATTTTAATACAATAAATGTTATGTGTCTAATTAAAAAGACACCTTTCAGTCAGTACTTACTTGACAGGACAACAAATCAGAGACAGAATGTCTTAGGTCCTCTTTCCAGTACTGCACTCAGGACAAACTATTAAAACTGTATCTGAAATAAAATACTTACGTGCCCCAGTGCACTTTAATGGAACAAGTCTTCTGCATTACACCAAATCCTTGCATTTCTTCAGTATCATCGAAGTAGGAATTTAGGATTCCTAACCCTTCTGGTTCCGTAAATAGGTCAATTTGACTAATTCTGTAATCCTGAGAAAACACACACACATGTACACATAAATATATATGTATATATATATATATACATGCATAATAATGACACCATGTATTTAATGCAATAGTAAGCTAATTATTCCTTTTCTTGCAACTAATTAAAATGAGCTTTACATACACACATTTCACAGTTCAAAAAATCACTTTCCTGTTTTCACCAATGACTTATTAATATGGGGAGACTTCAGAAGTTGTAGAAAATGGGGCCAGCAGGTGGAGTGGTGGTTAAGGGCGCTGAACTCCCACATGACTGACTGCAGTTCAAGTCTCGAACCTGGTGGCTTATCTCATAACAAGCATTTTCCATGAGTCTTATGAGGACCCTCTTGAATACTTCTTTTGGGACCTACACACTGCTTTAGTCATATATCTCAAGTTACATTCGAGCAAGGATCACCAGAAATGTATTTTACTCAAGCTTCAGGCCATGTTTCTGTCTCTCATACTCTCCTAGCTTTCCTTGGTCACAGGAGCTTTGGTTGCTAAGCTGTGAAACAAGTCCTGAGACTCTGGTCTATAGAATGGCTGCACTGCAGTCTTCTGCCACTGTTGCTTTGTGCCTTTGAGTCCTCAGTGGTAACTCTCTTTGACCATGACTAAACTTGTGTGGTATTGGTTTGGTGTCAGTTGTAAAGATGAAAGCATACATTCTTGGTGATTTACAGATCTCTGTGCTCGGTCACTGTTCCATGACCTGCACATCCATGGTCCATCAGACACTCTTTAAAAGGCCTCTCCTGGTTGAGTGTCTAAGCATTAACCAAATATTGATCAAACCTTCTCTATGCTGCCAAGCGAGGTGTACTGAGGCACAGATGAAATATTAACATTTGGGCCAGTTCAGGCACGGTTCTTTCTTTAAAGGAGCAACTCTAAAAAGGTGACCTTCGTGAATATATGTTGTGACTTGTGTTTCATGTTTCAAGAAACAGAGTACACAACTATAAGGAAAATATAATTTGTGATACATTGGGAGCCATAAATGTGTTTCTACCCTTTAAAATAACATAAGTCAGAAAAAGTTAACCAAAGGAAATAAATCAGGAAGTTACAAATTGTTCAATAAACAAAAATGTTCACATGGCATTATTTAAAACAGTAAAAAACTAGAAACCTTCAGATCCAGGAAAAGAAGAAATAAACAATAAATGATAGCCCTTTATTTGCATACTAAATGATAAATAACACATCATTTCAATGGAATATGATGCTCTGCTAAACCTCAAAAACTATGTTGTAACACGAAAAGCATTTGCTGTATTAAGTCTGCTATTATCAGGCGAGGGAGGAGAGCTTTTTAACTAATATGCATCATTTCCCTTATTCTACCTTTCTAAATACATCCAAATCCTCACCCCAGATTCTGATACCTCCCCCAGCTGCAAAATCATTAAGAGATGTTACCCATAGGAGTGTGATCTTGAAGAAAACTGTGGGATTAAGAACCACAGTGTTCAATGAAAAAAGTAGAACACTGTACCTATATTATGATTATAACTATAGAAAAATCAGATTAGGGGACCAGCAGATGGCATGGTGGCTAAAGCATTAGACACTCCCACATGGTCGACCACAGTTTGAGTCCTGAACCTGGTGGCTTGCTTTTTCACTTTTCCTTTCTCTCTCTGTGTTTTTCTCTCTGGTCAAATTAAAATGAATGAATGAGTAAATAAAATAAAATTAATTCTTAAAAAGAAAAAGAAAAATCAGATTAGAATATGGCTAAGGGAACCAGCAGTTAGCATAATGACTATGTCGCTGGACTCCCACGTAGTCGACCGCGGTTTGTGTCCTGGACCCAGTGGCTTAAAACTCACGCCAGGCGCATGTGCGTGCGTGCCCAAGATCCCGAGAGGAGAATGGAGAAGAAGGGATTGCGGCGTGACCATCCCCCCTGGGGGGTGATTTCTCGCTTTCTGTCTCTATGTCTCTCTCTGTCTGGCGAGCGCACGCGCCCTACAGTGAAAATCTCTCCAAAAAAAAAAAAAAGAATATGGCTAAGAGGGCTTACAGAACTAGAAAAAATAATGACATAGTAATATTCATATGATTTATAGCGATATTCATATAATTTTTAAAAAATTGCCTTATTACCCTATTACTTAAGCAATAAATAAAACCTAGAGGTAAAACAGTCCACTAACAAGGATATTTTGAAAAAGGATTCCTAATGTTTTATGGCTTGTTACATTATGTGCTTAAAACTGTTAGAACATAAATCATTTAGGACACCAATGATCACGTAAGTCTGTCAGAAATGTTGACCCAGGAAAGGTGATGCTTTTGTCTGCCAAGAACTTACTCATTCTTACTCATTCTCACTTTAGAAGCTCCTTTTTCTCTCTCATACCTTGACACATCTCTATTACACAAACTTGAGGCTTTAATTCTGCATTTGGAAGACACCATTAACTACATTGAAAAGTGGAGAATCATCAGCTGTGAAAAGCTACAAAGGCACAGATTCCAATAGCACCTTCCTCATCAAAAAATAAGGAATTAATAAAATTTATCCAATCCAAAGAGTGGCCTCAAATGCATAAAATAATATTTTTTAAACCCATATGAAACCCCAGAGTGGAACAACTTTCGGATTATTTATGTTTCCAAAATAGAATGCCTTTAAATCACTCAGACTTTATACAGCAATGGAAATTAAGGGAAAAAAACAAGTAAGAGAAAAATCTGTTCATATAGATCTCACCAAACCAGGTTAAATGCTTGGAGTCCTGGGCACCGAGGCCAAAAAAAAAAAAAAAAAAAACACCACACACACATAGTGAGCACATGCCTGAAAAGAGAATTGAAGAAGAGGAGACTGTTTTCTCATCCCTCCCCCAATCTCCAGTGAGCACATATACCCTTTGGCAAAATTAAAACAGAAAAAAGAAAACAATCAGGTTTTTAGGTAAAATACGTTTGAAAGATGAGAAAAGGAGGCCAGAAATAAAATATTTACCTTAAGGATTTACTGCTAAAAAAATATTTAACCAATTAGAATTCATTTCTAAGTGAAGTAAACATACATAAATTATTGAAAATATATCCATAAAGCACCAATTTTTTAAAAGGATTATTTATTTATTTAATTCCATTTGTTTTTATTATTTTTCAATTTGACCAGAGAGAGTAAGAGAACAGGAAAGAGAGAAAACAGGCCACCAGATCCAGGACCTGAATAGTCAGCCACGCAGGAATCCAGTACCTTTAACCACCACACCACCTGCCGGCCCCAAGCACCAAATATTTTTCACATTTCACTTATTTCATAAAATGAACATTCCTTTTAAAGTAAGACTCATCTCTGGCATTCAATAAATATTTGCTTGATGAATGAATGAAATCCAGTTTTACCATAACCTACCTTGACTACATGTCTGATTGAACCAATCACCAGAGGCTTATCAGACTTTACTTCCTCATTTCTTTCCAAAATATCTTCTATACCCCAGAGGTCAGAGAGTTCCATTTCTCCTTCTTCTAAAGGAATAGAGTGTCCTTCAAAATTTGGTTTTTCATACAAAATCCAACTAAGAATAAAACACAAAAATATCATTAGCCAGTCTTGATGAGAGAGGTTTTGATTACTCTAATATTCTGGCTAATAATGACTAGATATGTGGTGTGTTAGAAGTCAATTCTCAAGCAATTCAAATAGCATGAACTCTCCCTAAACTAAAGCTTTACTGGGCACAAGTAAGGATAATTTAAGAACTAAATAAGGATCTCAGAGAACTTTTGCGTTAGCAATAAGAACTCACAGAGCTACTAGTGGTCTAGACATGCCAGTTAGTGGAGACCTGCAGATGATGTCAGACAAACTGGAGTCTACTGTAGTGTATTTTTTCACTCCGTATATGCTTTGCAAACATTTCTCTAAGAGGAATCTTAACTTATATTTAGACATTTAGAGTCATACTGATGAACATGCTGATACAAAGAACTATTTGCTTGTTAATGGAAAGCATTTTAACAATGTTCTTCCCAACAACAGCCAAACACTAAAGAGAAAAACCTCATGTCAACATACCACAACACTGCTCTTAAGTGTTTATGCTTTCACCACAAAAAGCCAAACTAAAGTTCCAAAAGAAAGGAAAAAACACTGTTATATTAAAATCAAAATCATTACACAAAGTTTGTTCTTAGTGCAATTTTCAGTCTTCAGATTTAAGCATAAAAGCAAATTCTATTTTTCTAATGAATATGTGGAATATATACAAAAGTATATTAAAATGTCTAAAAATCTAATAGGAAAGATAATACATACTTTATAAAGTGGAGACCAAAAGAAAAGTTTACTAATTTTTTAGCTCATAAATATCTAGAGTTATCCTCTTTATAGCAGTCTCGCTTTCCCCGTAAGAGATGTATTTTAGATCCCCAGTAGCTGCCTGAAACCTTAGTTAGTATTAAACCCTATGTATACTATTTTTTTCCTACAAATAAACACCTGTGATGAAGGCTTTTTCTTTAAAGATTTATTTACTTTTAATTTTATTTATTATCATTATTCTTCAATTTTTACCAGAGAAAGACAGACAGAGAGAAAGGGAGAGTGAGAAAGCAAGCCACCAGGTTCAGGACTTGAACCGTGGACGGGCATGTAGGAGTTCAGTGCCTCAACCACCATGCCACCTGCTGACCCCTGTGAAACTTAATTTATACAACAGATTATTTGGTGAGATTATTAGCAGTTATAACTATAGTAATAGTTATTATTTTAACTAATGAAAAAATAGAACAATTGTTACATTATGCCAAATAGAACCGTTTTAACAGTACTCTTGCACTTTGGGCCATTATTAAATGAAATAAAGCTTCTGGAAGAAGCTTTACTACTAGTTTAAAGCTGCTGTACTACTACAGTTGATCTGAGAACCACGAGAGCTGCTAAGTGACTAAGTGGGTGGCAGGAAGGGAGCTTTACAAAGACATGACTCATGTCCTGGGTGAGACAGAGATGGATGGCATGAGATTCCATCACGCAACTCAACACAGCATGCAAGTTAAAACTTATGAATTGTTTATTTCTCTTTCTTTCTTTCTTCTTTTTTTAGTTGCCAGAAGGCATATATGCTTATCAGAGAGAAAGAGAGAGAAGAAAGCACCCTGCAAGGGCCGTGGTCACACCACAATCTCTTCTCCATTTTTCCACCCTGTTGGGATTTGGGGCACCGCAAATATGATCTAGCATGCTTTTAAAGCTGCCAGGACCAGGACCTGAACTGCAATTGGTCATGTAGGATCTAGCTCCCTTAACCAGTAGGCTATGAAGCCAGTTCATCAATTGTTTATTTCGGGAGTATTCCATTTAATATTTTCAAATCACAGCTGACAATGGGTAATTGAAACCCAGGAAAACAAAAAACATTTAAAGGGAAACTACTGTATCTCAAACAAGTTTATAAATAGTTATCAAAGAGAAGTGCTATGCCAGACCAATGATAAAAGAAAAGTTTACTAATTTTTTAGCTCATAAATATCTAGAGTTATCCTCTTTATAGCAGTCTCGCTTTCCCCGTAAGAGATGTATTTTAGATCCCCAGTAGCTGCCTGAAACCTTAGTTAGTATTAAACCCTATGTATACTATTTTTTTCCTACAAATAAACACCTGTGATGAAGGCTTTTTCTTTAAAGATTTATTTACTTTTAATTTTATTTATTATCATTATTCTTCAATTTTTACCAGAGAAAGACAGACAGAGAGAAAGGGAGAGTGAGAAAGCAAGCCACCAGGTTCAGGACTTGAACCGTGGACGGGCATGTAGGAGTTCAGTGCCTCAACCACCATGCCACCTGCTGACCCCTGTGAAACTTAATTTATACAACAGATTATTTGGTGAGATTATTAGCAGTTATAACTATAGTAATAGTTATTATTTTAACTAATGAAAAAATAGAACAATTGTTACATTATGCCAAATAGAACCGTTTTAACAGTACTCTTGCACTTTGGGCCATTATTAAATGAAATAAAGCTTCTGGAAGAAGCTTTACTACTAGTTTAAAGCTGCTGTACTACTACAGTTGATCTGAGAACCACGAGAGCTGCTAAGTGACTAAGTGGGTGGCAGGAAGGGAGCTTTACAAAGACATGACTCATGTCCTGGGTGAGACAGAGATGGATGGCATGAGATTCCATCACGCAACTCAACACAGCATGCAAGTTAAAACTTATGAATTGTTTATTTCTCTTTCTTTCTTTCTTCTTTTTTTAGTTGCCAGAAGGCATATATGCTTATCAGAGAGAAAGAGAGAGAAGAAAGCACCCTGCAAGGGCCGTGGTCACACCACAATCTCTTCTCCATTTTTCCACCCTGTTGGGATTTGGGGCACCGCAAATATGATCTAGCATGCTTTTAAAGCTGCCAGGACCAGGACCTGAACTGCAATTGGTCATGTAGGATCTAGCTCCCTTAACCAGTAGGCTATGAAGCCAGTTCATCAATTGTTTATTTCGGGAGTATTCCATTTAATATTTTCAAATCACAGCTGACAATGGGTAATTGAAACCCAGGAAAACAAAAAACATTTAAAGGGAAACTACTGTATCTCAAACAAGTTTATAAATAGTTATCAAAGAGAAGTGCTATGCCAGACCAATGATGTTTTTTTTTTTTTTCAAGAGAGAGTCTTGCACATGTTCTCTTTCTCCTTTCTTAGCCACCCAAGGTAGTGGGATCACAGATGCATGTCACTGGGCAGGGCCTTTAGGCTGGACCAGAAATGAACCCGGGCCTCCTAGGTGGTACCAGCCTGCAAGACATAGCATCTAAATAGCCAGCACACACCACTGCAGCTGGACCAGGAGTTTCTTCCGTTTTTTTTTTTTTTAAGTTTTGCTATAGGCTGTATGAGCTGCTAGAGAGACAGAAAGAGGAAATGAGAAATCAGCCCTTTGAGGGGATAGCCATGTTGCAACCCCTTCTCTTCTATTCTCCTCTAGGGATTATGAGACAACATGTGCACATACCCAACATGATTTTCAAACTGCCAGATCTAGGACTTGAACCATGTAGTCAGCCATGTGCGATCTAGCTGCCTTAATCACCATGTCATCTGTTGTCACAATACATGATTTTTTTTTTAAAGTGAGATTTTTCACTATAAGGTGTACTTCCTTGCCAGAGAGACAGAGACACAGAACGCAAGAAATCACAGCCCGGGGGATGGCCATGCTGCAATTCCTTCTCCATTCTCCTCTCAGGATTTTGGGCATGTACGCACATATGCCCAGCATGAGTGTTTAAAACTGCCAGGTCCAGGACTCAAACCATGGTCGACTACATGGGAGTCCAGCAAGGTAATCATTATGCCATCTGCTGATCCCAATACAACTTTGTTTTAAAGTTGCTTTTCTTTATTCAATTTCTAATATATTTCCAAGATGCAATTAAGCTGATAAAACAACTTTAGAAGCCATCAAATTATATTTATATTTTCACCAGTTTCTCTACTTAATCAAAACTATCTTTTATCAAAAAATTGGAAAGTAAATTAAATTTGAGGCTTGTCCTTCACAGAATTGTCATCAATAAGTTAACAAAAATGTCTTTCCTTACAGATGTTTTAAGAGTCACATCTGGCCCATCAACTGACTAGTGTAATTCTTACCAATCCTATTTACAACTCACTGACCAAAAGCATATTATGAACCTGATATATAATTAATCCAAAACAACGCTATGTGGGGATAGATAGGAAAAAGAAGCTTGTTCTGCTGCACTTTTTAAATTTTTCTACTATAAACTTGTATCACTACGATGGTCAGATACATAATTAAAAATATTTCTTAAATATGAATCTTTACTTGACTATGAGTTATATTTTCTGCACTTCACATTGCTAAAGGCATAATGTTAAATAAGTAGTAAGGACCAAAAGGGGCCAGATGTGGCACAGCAGTAAAACTCGATGCTCTGGGGAACCAGCGGTTAGCGTGATGGCTATGTCGCTGGACTCCCACATAGTCGACCGCGGTTCGCGTCCCGGACCCGGTGGCTTAAAACTCACGCTGAGAGCGTGTGCGTGCGTGCCCAAGATCCCGAGAGGAGAATGGAGGAGAAGGGATTGCGGCATGACCATCCCCTCTGTGGGGTGATTTCTCGCTTTCTCTCTCTATGTCTCTCTCTGTCTGGCGAGCGCACGCGCCCTATAGTGAAAACCTCTCCAAAAAAAAAAACTCGATGCTCTGTGAGGCTGACCCACACAGGAAGATTCTGGATTCACATCTGCATACCTCACTGAATACACAGGCACTTACATGCCCATCATCTGGGGCTGGCCGAGGTGGGGAGTGGATTGTGGCCTCCAGACCCCGCTGAGGATGCTGTCTCTTATTTCTGTCTTGCTCAAGTAGAAAGTAAATCAAAAAACTTTTTGGAAAGGTTAGTAAGAATGTAAAACACAAACACCATTCACTTGAAAGTGTCATTCTTACCATCCTCTAACAACTTTCACAACGATCACTGGAGACAAGCTCCAAGAACTGCAATCCTGAATGTCACTGAACACTTCAATGCACTTCTCAGAGACATCGGGTTCACTAAATATCACCACCTGTAGGG